AGGCTCCGAGGGACCTCCTTCCTGGTTATTTGTGTATGACTCATTACATTTTCTCCCCTTCATTCTGTTCGGCCATATTGGTCTCCATTGTTCCTTGTAGCACCAAAGCACAATCCTGTCTTTGATGTGCTCTTTGCCCTGCAGTTTTTCTTACATCCAGTATGTCTTTATCACTTCCTGTAAGACCCTACTCAAAAAGTTCCCTCCTTGAAGAGCCTTCTCTGAATATCTTGGAGGATATACTCTACCTCTAGTATCTTTTCTCCCCATTACAGCTTAAAATAACAATACACCAACTGCTTACTATGGCTGCACTTGGTCTCCTCACCAGGATGTCAACCCTGAGACTAGTCTGTGTTGGTCACTGTTGTACTTCTGGTACCAGAAATGGACCTGTCCCAATAATGTAGTGCAAGGTTGAATGTAACTGCAACTAGAAATTATCCCAATATTTATGTTCTAAACATTTAGATGAATGGATGTGTTTTGTTGGAGAGAATCAGTGAGTGACTGAATGTAGAGGGGTGAGAATGGGGCCAATAGTAGAGGGCTCCCTGGTTTTTGGCAGGATAACGTAATTGGTGGAAATGCCATTTACAGACACAGTAAGATCAAAGCGGCACTTCCTTGGGAAGACCGAGTCCAGTTTTGAACATCTAGCTCTGGAGATGCCTATGAACACCCAAGTGGAGATAGTAAGTAAAAAGTTGGATATATGTCTGGCGTAAGATTACTAATTTCCTGATTGAATCCTTTTGGAGCTAATTGTTCCTCTTCTCTCTTCTCCTTTTGCTTTCTCTTCCTTTTTCCTCTCCTTTTTGTTTCCCTTTTCCATCTTTTTGAGATAGGATTCCACTATGCAGTTCAGGATGGCCTTACACTCACTTTGTAGCCAAAGCTGTCCTCAAACTCGTAGCGATCCTCCTACCTCAGCCTAAGTGATGGAACTTTTTGTTTTCTCAAGACAGGGTTTCCCTTGAATTTATGATCTTTCATCCTCCAGAGCACTAGTATCACAGGCATGAGCCACCATGCCTGGCTAGAGCTGGGTTTTCTCCACTTGCATCTAAAAGCTTTTGGCATTTACTTGGCTAATGAGGGTGTAGACTGTATAGCATGTGGACTTTGCTACTGAAATAAACACTGATTACTAAGTTGATGAGGCACGATTGAGTACACTGAGAATTTATAACCAAGAGTGATACTGTTTACTGAATGGGCGCTTGGTCACTTCACCTAAAACCTCGGGGCAGCTCCAACAAAATGCTCTGAACTCCCAAGGGTGTGCTACCAAGGGTAAGCAAATGGGCACATAAAGGTTACAGGCTATTAAATTCAGGTACAGAAGCGCAACTATGCATACCTTGCCTGGGAAATGCATTTTTCCTGCTGTTTTTTCCAGTTTGTTTCAGATTCCAACTGGAATATTTACTATACTTAAAAAACATTGAGCATATGGTCTCTCCTAGCCAGTTTATAGACTGCATGTATGTAGCCATGTTAAAGCTGACATTTTTTTCCCTTTGGTATCAAGGATCAAACTCACAACCTCGTACTTGCCAAGCAAGTACTCTATGGCTGAGCTAAATCCCCTGCGCTGCAACACCTGAAGCATCTGCACAGTAGTGGTGCACACCTGTAACTCTAGCTACCTGGGAGGATGAGGATGATTAACAATTGTAAAATAAAGTTAAAAATGGGCTGGGAACCCAGCGTCGTGGTGCATGCCCATAATTCCTACACTTGGGAGATGAGGCAGGAGCTTCAGTAGTGAGTTCCAGGCCAGGCTGGGCCTCATAAGCCAAGTTTAAGGCCAGCCTGCACCACTTAGTGAGATCCTGTCTCAAACAAAACAAGAACAACAAAATTGGATAGGGACATAGCTAAGTGGTAGAAGAAACTACAAGACTTTGGATTTGATCTCCAGTACCACAAACAAAACAACAAAACACAGTTATTCCTTCACTTAGGTGTCTGCATCTTGTCCTAGTAAAAGTGCTGCTAGTTTTTTTATATGTTAATGGAGGAATAAAAAATTTATTTAAATACTGTGACCTTTTTTTGCAGTGAAAAGGTCTCGGTTTTACAAATAGGATACAGAGTAAACACGAATGAATTTAATACAATGCCTTAGTGAGTCCAGCTTTAAGTTTCAAAGGAATTTGTTTGTTTTGTTTTTGCTATTTACAAGTAGCTTTTATTATAGCTACTGGTTTAGAAAGTCCAACTTCAGTAAGAAGCTAGCATTTCAGTGTTACCTGGAACATACTAGCAGCCTCCTAAAGCAATGGAGTTTTTATTCTAGTCATTGAGAGGACATTGCTTCCTTTCCACTGAACTGGGAAAGTGTTTAATAGAGCGTTTCCACTCCTAAGAAAAGGGGAGAATGCTTTTCTCCTTAAAAAAACCTTTTTTTTTTTGGTGGTGCTGGGGATTGAACTCAGGGCCTTGTGCATGCTAGCCAAGTGCTCTACCACTGAGCTACATCCCTAGCCCTTCTGAAATTTTAAATATCAAGAGAAGATTTGAAGGCATATAAATGCCAAAAATGAAGTAAGATAGTGATGAGAGTAGCATTTTATGTCCCTGGAAACACTCCCAGGTTGCCCAAAATGCCAGTTGGACATATGAGACATTTTGGCATTCAATTATTCAACTTGAAAATACAGATGTACAACATAGATCTATCATGTCTATCTTTGCATGTAAGAGAATTGGGGGAGCATATAGAAGACATTTTTTAAATTTTCTGAACTCATGATCCAGATGAATACAATAGCTGAGATAATAAGGAAAAGTGCCCAGAAGGAAAGATTAATTCTGCCTCTAGGGTTCTGATGATTTCACATAAATATTAGTATCTGGCTGGAGTTCAAAGGTTGGATAGTTTACTAGGGAAAAAGAATATTAAAAGAAGTACTGTTGACATTAAAAGAAGTACTGTTGTAAGAGGAATATGAAGCAGATGTATCACCACCAGCTACAGAAATGACACCCAACACAAGCAAGATACAATACAGGCATTAGTTTTAGAAATCCTTTCAAAGGGCAAGAATCAAAATATATCATGTACAGCTACAAATTCCTTATGATGAATATAATCATTATGTATATCTAAAATGTACCAATATACATATGAAATCCTTTAAAGCTGTAAATTTTAACATGAGTTCCAGAAGCCACTGGAATGTCACTTTTATTATAAGGTGGGCAAAACTAAGGCTATTTTAAGATCAAAACAAAGAGCCATCTTCTCTGGCAGACAGAAAAAGACTGAAGACAATTCTTCTTTTCTTTCCTCTGTTTTTTTTTTCTTTTAAGGAAATGCATGCCGGCTGGTTGATTTTAGTTGTCTCTAATCTGCAAATCTGCAGTCACTGGTTTGTGCACAATGCCTAATCGGCTGGTATTCAGGCAGGTGGAAAGAAACGCCGGAGTTACTATCACTAAAATTTCTTGACACTGCCTTTCTGTGATTTATTTAATACAAAGAATTAGCTAAGACTATGCTCTGAAGACGTTTTCAGAATTTAAAACAAATACTGATTTTTAAATTATTCTGTAATAGAACATTTTCTTAAAAATCCATTTTATTTCAAGGAGAAAATTAAGAGCTAAAAGTTTCAAAACACATCAATCAGCCGCCGGCACATATATATAACATAAATTTTAATATGTTAATAAAAATATTTTTGATCTTTCAATTTCTGGATAGTGTTCAATGACTATAAAGTCATTTACACAACAGAAAACAAATGTTTCAACTCGAGTTCTACGCTGTATTTTGCACTTTACCAAACCTAGCCTGGACACACACTTAACCGGCAATTAATGACTTGTTTACAACAGAAGTACTTTGAAATTTCAATTTCTTCTAAGGATATTACAGGAAGCTGCAAATCCCAAAGTCCGAATGATCTAATTTCTCACCAACGCTGGAATTTCTAATTGGACTATTAAAGGGTAATTTTACTGTCATCCTGCATGACACGTCTAATGGTGTTTAAAATAAACAACAGAAACCTCGTAAAAATAACTCATGGCGTTCATAAATTGTATTTATTGTAAGGACTGGAAGCCATTAAATTACACTAACGGTTAAGGACGCTTACCAACTCTAGTTCAAAAAGAGTAGTGGTAGGTTTCAGGATTTTTTTTTTACTTACTTATTTTTTTTATTGATATAGGTTTGTAGTATATAGAGATGACACTCCTCCTCGGAAGCTGCTACATGCAAATAACACATTTTAATTATTTCTTCATCTCCTTCCTCTCCCCTATCTCTCGGTCCCAGGATCGTCTAATAACACAAGCAAAGCAAGACGATCCTAGTTCCTTTAAATATACGTTATCTGCTTCTTTGCACGAAAATCTTCAAGAAAAACACCACGTAAGCTCAAATTTTACTTGGAAAGCAAATCTTAAAAGAAACGGAAGCCCTGATGGCCAGCAGCCCCGGCTGTCCGGGGTCCCCAGGTCCGCTAGGGCTGTGCACAGTTCAGTGAGCCCAGCGTCCCCAGGACGAAGCGGGAGCCTGGGGGGACACAGCCACGCAGCGTCTCCCAGGCTGGGTACCTCGGGACTAACTTCACAAGCACCCAAAACACAATCGCCGCAGGGGCAATGCGACCACACCCCTTCCGCACAGCAGCTCGCGCCAGCTTCTGGGTGGCGGGACAGGTTAGCCGATTCTGGTGATCTGGAAGGCGGGACGGAGGAAGGAGCCTCTCTAGTCTTGCCTCCGAACCAACGCTCCTTGTTCTCGATGATCCTCGCGCGGCCGTCTTCTCTTACGCCACTTCCGGTTCCTTTTAAAGGCCCCACACTGCGCGGCGCGTGCAAGGAAGGTATAAAAGGGAGCGAGAGGGCGGGACCGACGGGGTGGGGGGGGAGTAGCGGCGGAGGGGGCGGGGGTGGTGCAAAGGGCGCGCTCTGACATCACGTGACCGGGACGCGCCGTTCTTCCGTCGGCCATTTTAGGTGGTCCGCGGCGGCGCCATTAAAGCGAGGAGGAGGCAAGAGTGGCCGCCGCTGCTTCCTATTTCTTTCTAGCGTAGCCGAAAAGAGTGGGAGTGCGCGCCGCGCGCGAGTGGGAGGCGAGGGGGGCAGGCCAGGGAGAGGCGCAGGAGCCTTCGCAGCCACGCGCGCGCCTTCTGGGTCTTGCGGTGTGCTCGTCGCGGTAGCGGGCGCGCGGCGGCGGGGATACCTTCGCTGCTAGTTGGGGCTCGCGGCAGCGGCGCGGGTGTCGTCTCGGCGGCGGCGGCGGTAGCACCATGTCGGAGGAGCAGTTCGGCGGGGACGGGGCGGCGGCCACGGCGGCGGTGGGCGGCTCGGCGGGCGAGCAGGAGGGCGCCATGGCGGCGACCACGCAGGGGGCAGCGGCGGCGGCGGCGGGCGGCGGAGCCGGGGCCGGGGCCGGAGCGGCAGCCGGAGGCCCGGAGGGCGGCAGCTCGGAGTCCGAGGGCGCGAAGATCGACGCCAGCAAGAACGAGGAGGACGAAGGGTGAGTAGGGCCGCTGGCCCCGGCTCCGCGGCCCCGCACCGTCACCGTCCCTGTCCCTGGCCCCCCGCTCCTGGCCTGCGCCGCTTCCCCTCCCCCCGCGTCCCCACCTCCGCCGTCACCATGCGGCTCCCGCCCGCCCTCCTTCCTCCCGCGCGATCTCCTCCCACCGGCTCGGTCGCCAGGATTTTTCCCGCCCGTCTCGGGGACGTCTTTTTCCTGTTCCCGCTGTTCCCTCCTGAACCCTTTTCTTGCTGTTCTGGTTTTCCTGCTGCGATCGCTGATGTTTCTTTGGACCTGTGCTCCTTCCGAGTCAGTCGGCCAGCGGTCGCGAAGAGCGACCATGGGGTCCGTGTGCGGGATGTCAACCCGTAGCTCCCGTGCCCACTCCACGCCGGGTTCATTTTACGATTTAAATAAGTTTCGCTTTGGGACTTATTTTTTCGCCACTTTAGATTGTTGCACAACGGCGGGCTTCTCTAGACGCCACATTCGTACTTGGGGACGGCTTGGGCCTTCCGCGATGCCCGGGTCACCCGTGCGTGGGCTTCGCTCTGTACCGAGCGCGGCTCCCTGGCGGGCCAGCAGCCGAGTTGCTTTCCCCGCGCATCCTTTTCGCGCTCTCAGCTGTTGGATGCGCCAACTATTTCAACAGTTTACACTACTTTTTCCATGCCACTTAATTTTTTTACGTCTCTCGTTTTCGGAGCTAAGGAGCCTTTTAAATTGCTATTCCCGCTCGCTTACTTACTACTAAAAGAGGGCCACTTGCACCTTTTCATAAAGTCATGTATTGTCCTATGAAATAATTTTTTTGTAAGTTTTTGAGTATAGGTTGCTTCTCATATGAGAAACGGTGGCATGTGCTACCTAGAGCTGCTTTTAATATGTGGAGTTGCAGCATCTGGGAGCTTAATACAGGAGTTGGCTGGAGGGACTAAATCCAGGTTCTCAATTCGGGTTGACTACTAATCTTAGTGTTTCCATTCCTTTTTATAATGGGTGTTACAAAAAGTGGAAATGCTTCGGTGGAAGGTAAAAGCAATAAGATGTCATTCTAATCCGGCATTAGAAACCATGTTTTTCTTTCCTGGATAAGAGTACAGGATCTTGGGGAACACTGTGGAATACAGTGTAGTTATAGTCCCAGTCTGGGCAAATTTATCAGGCTGTTTACTGATGATGCTGGCTGAAGGGGTGGAGGCGGGAGGGAAAATAAACTTTTTCTTAAGCAGAATTAATCCTGAGTTATCTATAGCTTAATTTGGAGCTTATAACTTTATTTGGAAATTTTAAGCTTTTAACGTTTGTAGGTTATTTGGAACCTTAAGCTTTTAGCATTTTGGGTTTTTAACTTTTTAAATTCTGTTCTTTGGGCAGAAACACCAAAATTATATAATTGTATAACATATTGTTTGGGACAGGCTTACTAGCCCTGAGTTTTCAAATCGCAAAACAGCTGCCTTTGTAGAACTGAAGTGTAAATGAATTAAAAGTTTTTAACCCTAACAATGCCAAAAACTAAAACTAGAATTTTGATTGGTTGCTGTACCGGTTGTTAATTCCCTAGCCATTCAAACTCCTCCCCACGACACACTGAAGCAGCGACGGCACAGCGGGAAGAATGGTAAAACTTTTTTAAATTTTATTTCTGTATTTTAAAGGTTTCAGTCGTTATAATATGCAGAGGCTATGTATTGGTTAGTTGCCCATTGATCCCCAGGAAATTCTAGACATTATTAGCGTTGTGTAGGATATCTTGTACCTGGGATGTAAAACTTTGGGTATCATGTATAATTTTTGGGCAAATTGATGCCGTTATATGATATTAGGTCGGTGGTAATGCATGTAATTACAGTTTGGTTAATTTAAGCTAAATATAATTAGTAATGTTTCTATATTTGGGCAAGAGTAATCTGATTTCATGTTTATTAAGAAGAAAAATATTTTTGTTGAAATTTGAAGTGTAATGCTAAATATAAAGATTTATAAAATATTGTGTTTAAAATGTCTTGCATGTCGTACTGAGATACTTTGGAGATGTTAAGTAAAACAACTTTTGATAACTGCGTTATACAAAAATGTTCGTCTTTTCCCACATTTAGTATTTATAAATACACTTCATAAGAATTTGGATATAAACTATTTAGAGGTGGGCTCATGTGGCTTATTGCTACAGCTCTCAGCTGCTATTTTATTCTCACTGTGATTTGGCTGGAATGTTACAGTTCTACATGTATTCAGAGTTGCATGACTTCTGTTTGGAGGCTGGTTGGTTGATTATTGTTTTATCCTGCCTTCACCTCCCCTAAATGTTGATCTTGATGCCTGTAGAATCATTTTAAGAGTTTTCCACAAGTTTATGTTGTCCACCATTGGAAGTTTGAGAGCTACAATTTGAATATTGTTGCCTTCTATCTGTACAATTTGCATTGTGCTTTAAGAGCCCTTTTGGGATACATTTAAATTTTACACAAAATTTACCACTGTATTTTTATCCCCTGAAATCTATCCAGTGTTAGATTGGGGATAAAGTAGACTGGAAACAAGTAGGCAAAGGAAAAAGCTAAAGGAAAATAGTAGGGTCAGACTGTGACATACTGAGTATCTTAAGATGAATGCTATTTCTGTTTTGATGACTAGTGGGCACATACAGTTAGGTTGCACTGCTATGTAGTAGCAGATTAAGAGTAAACTAACTTCACTCTGTTATACATGTTGAATCTTAATTGTTGCTGGAAATTAAAAATAACCATAAACTTTTAGGTTTGAATGTCAGTGTTTGACTTTTATTAGAATTATCCTTGCCCTGCCACTTTATATCTTTTTGGGGGGTGACTCATTAATAACATGAACATTATAGGTTATGATCAGTTGTCAACCTTTTAAGTTATGACCATTTGTCATCCACTGAAAATATTTTACTGAAATTCATTTTAAGTTAAGCAAGTTTGCACTTACAAGATAGTTCTCTTTTTCTTTCTCTCTCTCTCTCTTTGAACTCATAGGCTCAAGTAATCCTCTCTCCTCAGCCTCCTGAGTAGCTGGGACTACAGGTGTGTGCCACCATGCCTGCCTCCATAGTTCTCATTTTTAATGTCTAACATTTACTTAGTAACTGCCAAATCACTCAGCCCCATTTTGTTGCAGATACTAAATTTTTCTTTCTGAATAAAAATGCCTGAAGACCATCAAACCTACTTTTTATTGCACTTGCCCACCCTATGTGTTGCTTTTGTCTCCTACTTGAGGGATACTGAGCAACAGTTTTGTAATACACTGAATTGTGAAGACTGGTTAGTAGGTTCAAAGTCATCTTAGTTTATCTAACAGAATTCTGTGTGCATTTCCTTTTACAAATTTGAGAGCAAAGCAGTTACAGTTTCATCAAAACATTTATCTGTTGTGGAGAGTTCTTCCCTTTTTATATGAGAATGCCGTTTTGAGGACATCCCTGTTAACAGTTCTTTGGGATGCTTCCACAGTTTACTATGGACTTGAGAATAATGGCTTGTCTCTATAGTAAAATGACTTCTTGAGTTCATGTTGCTTTAATCTTTATAACATTAACATCCCTAGTTTTTTACTTATAAGCAACTGCATTGGCTTTTTCCATATTGGTTTGTGGTGTGGAATCATTGTCTGCAGTGCTGCAGTGTTTTCAGGGTAGGTACTTCACAATTACTTAGTGTCTGTTGAAATGCACAAGCCATATAGGTGTGAATTTTTAGCTTCAGTGACTCCCTACAAGTAGTAAAGTACCTGGGGGGAGGGAGTTTTTAAAATTTAAACAACATTGAAAAACTAAACTAGCTTTGGGACAGTTTTGCAAGGTAGGTATTATCAATTCCTTCCACATTGGATTGTTTAGGAAAGACAAAGCTAGTCTCATTCATTTTATCAGTCATTGTATAACAGTATTTTTTTTTTAAACTGGGCATTGAACTCAGGACTTTGCGATTGCCAGGCAGGTGATTGTAACCACTCAGCTAAATCCCAGCTCATTTTGGCTAACTTTAAAACAGTAGGTTTTCACATATGTTTGTGTAAATATTTGAGATTATAGTCTACATTTTAGTGTTTCTAGGGTAATCCGAACATTGTTTGCTTTGTAAAGCAATTACTAACAGTCACATGCCAAATTTATGACCTTTTTAGGAAAGTTGGATTCACCTTGAGTGGATGAGTCTCTATTAAACACTCTTTGGAACCTGTGGCAAATTTCCAGGGTTAGAATTGCACAAACTGACACTACAAATGTTGAGGTGATGAACATTTAAGGGAGGACTTTTAAATTCTTCTGTTGGTGATGCTAGAGATCCAACCCAGGCCTTTGTGTGTGGTAGGCAAGCACCCTACCCATAGCAACATCCCTAATCTGTACATGTTAATTTTTTTAGGAAAGATACTGAAAATTACTTAACCTGTTAAGTTTGGAGTTGAAGAATGTCATTGACTTTTTCAGTACTATTTTTTGAGTTAAATATGTTTGTCTCAAAACTGGGCTTTTTTTCTCCTTCCAAGCCATATGACCCCCTCTATAAACTCATATTTTTAATGCCTGGGTACTATGAGCTGTAAGATGAAGATCTGTTTTGTTGTGACTTAAAGCTATAATGAAGGTTGATCATTTTTATCATCAAGTGATGATACAAGATATGCTTCAAAATATTTAAAAAGAAGTAAAATAACCTTCATATTTCTCTTAAAGATGTACCTCTCCAGTGTGCATATTCACAAATGGAGTGACGTATAACTTTAGTCCAAGTTTGATTTGACTTTCAGCATTTTAGTAGATAGGGCACTGAACTGGATGCTGGAAGTGTGGAATCTGTTTCTGTTCACTTTCAACAGTGTGGTCTCAGGTAAATGTTTGTTTTTGGTTTGCGGATCTCTATTGGAAACATTGCTCACCACAGGAAGATTGACTACATAGCCTACTTTAATAGCTTGTGTGTATTTATCCTGTGTCCTAATAGTTGATACTGCAGTGATTTACTCCTGTGGAGTAAAGGTAAGCATGTTTTTAGTTTTTGGAGCATTATATGTTGATCATGCCAGGTATAAAAAAAATATTTGGGATTAGGGAGGGAAGACTGCCGCTTACTAGTGATGTTGATCAGTGACCAGAGTGGATCGATCACTTTTAAGTATTGGATAAAATACAGTAAACTCCTGCTTATCAAGACCACCTAAGAAGCTTCAAACAACAGAAAATTCACCTCTCACACTTTAGTCTTGTGAGATAGGTGAAACTATCAGCAAATAGATTCAGAGAAACCAAGCAGTGTCAAGGAGTGATTATCCTATAGATTTTCACTTGTGTTGTAAAGTTATGTGAGTGTAAAACATTGACAGATTTAATAATTAATCAAAAATCATCTTCTGATTTTAGAGTAAGTCAGTTTCCAGTAGAATACTACATAGAATTGCATGTAGTGATCTCAGATAACCAGAACATAAATATCTATGATAAGGAAGTAACTGTTCCTTTTCCTCTTGGTAAATGGGAGTTTACCTTATAGAACTAATGTGTAATATTAAAAAACATGATGTCATTCTTCCCTTGTAATGAAAAAAGGGAATTGTTGGGTTAAATATCTATAAAATTTATTTTATAAAATTGTTGTTTGATTAACTAGATAATGTTCAACATAGTTATCTTTTAATAGTCATTTGGGTTCTTTCTGAAGTATGAAGTAATGGGATTTAATATAGACTAATTTTGGTTTGAAAATGTTTGATTTTCTGTGTGTTAGTCTTGAATAATAGGATTTTTAAAAACTTGTTAAAAAGTCATTTTGACATACAAAGCTAGGGAAGACATTACCTATTACACTGGGGAAGTAATACTGGTATTTAAATTTGACTGACTGAAGTGTTTCAGGAAAGCAGATTTACTGGCCAATTTTATTGTGGTTTTTGTGTGTTTTAAACCTGACCAGACTTAAAATGTCTGGTAATTTGTTAGATAAAAGTTTGTCAAGATACTTCCAAGGGTGGTTTTTATATAGATTCTAAAGTTACTTCCCTACCATGTGATACTTAGTTGTGAAGTAACCTCTCTTGTATCTTAATGATAGAAGTTTAAAGTATATGTAATTTCCAAATAAAAATACTCATGACTTATGTTTAAATTTATAGCTGTCAATTTAGTGTTCTAAGAATAATTATGAAGTAACAAAAATTCAATTGAGAATTGATATTCAAATGAGAATAGTGAACTAACATTTTAAAAGATGACAGTGATTGGTCAATTATGGTAAACAACCAGAAATACTTATCCAGTTGATACTGGTTTTTTTTTTTTTTTAACTGTCAGAACTTGTTATGAAGCCATATATGTAAAATCATGATTCATATGGAAGTGTTTAAAAGTTACAGGTTGCCTCTTTTTTGATTCCTATTTCAAAATGAGATTAAGGGTAGTGGAATTTTATCTTGAATAAAATGTTTTATTGACCATGTTAGAGTGCCTTTTATGTTTTAAATTATGAAGTACTATTATGTATGTAGGCACAGTCATCATAACTATTTTAGAAGCTATACTTGAGGCTCTTAAAAGATGATGTATTTTCTAGTCTCCCCCCCCAAACATGGGATATTTAAATCATTTCCAGTGTGTTTTAAGACTTTAGCATTGACAATTTTAGGGTCCATTTGTATTAAACTCATGGCCATTTTACTTTAATGTTGGAAAGTTTATAATGTCTATAGTTAAAAACATAAGCAAATTGAGCAAATAAAAAAAGTTACTTTGTTATGTATAGATGATTTTCTTCTACAAAATAATAACTTGCAGAGCAATTCAAGTGGGTCAGACTGTGCTCTGTGCCTTTTAAGTATATTGATGCAATTTAACCCTAATTGTGCAGATGCCTTCAGTTAGGCTCTTTATAGAAGGGGAAAACAGTCTTCAGAATTTTTTAAAAAACAGGGTTATATGGTAAGTGGGAGAGCTAGCATTTAAATACAGGGAGTTTGAGTTTACTACCTCTAAGGTTGCACTGGAAGGTAATAAAATGTTTAAAGCAGCCTACATTCCTGACAGTAGCATTTGTATAGTTACTCTATACTGAGTTGTATAACTTTGTCATTGAATTTTTAAATTTGATGTTCTGTAATACCAGCTATGAAAGCAAAGAAACGTCTGTGTGTTGAGCAGGTATTTTAAATTGAGTACCATTTGCCTTTGGGGTAAAATGTTTAGTCATGGGTAGGATTAAGAAATTTGTTAATAAAATACTATAGATGAAGTCCTATATATTTTAATTGGGGATTATTGATTCACGGACAACTAAGGATCAAATTTTAAACTTACATTGCAGCATTAGGAGCCATTTTTGTTGCTACTTGAACAAGTCTTGGTAGTTTAATTTTGCTGCTTAGGAATTTTCGAAGTAATATCTCTACTTCATTGGAAAGTGTTTGCATCTCTACAGGAGTGACAGCAACTTGAAAATCAGTCTGTATTCAAGGCAGCGGAGGTAATCTGGACAGACAGTAGGTATTGTGCTTTAAGCAAGATACAGTCATATAAAATATAGATAATTTAAATTGGTATTAATCGTAGGCCCTTTAATAGTTTGGTGGAAAATGCATGCCAGTGTTTGAGAGAGGCAAAATAACTGTCTGCTTACTCATAAAGACAGTAAACACACCTTTTGTCACTATGCTGTACAGTCAATCACAGCTGTGCCTACTGAATAAAGATGGAGATTTAATACGTTCCCTTTATTAAAGATGGAATGTATGTAGTATTGTTTGTATTAGTTGCATTACATTCACCTGTCACTATCAGTTTAACCAATTGGAGCAGAAGAATGAGCCAGACTGCTTTTGGATTGCCAAAATACTAGTATATTTGCCTCAAGGATCCCTTAGCCTATTGCTCTGAAACTGCATTTTATGCAAAATTTGGAAAGTTTTAAGAGCTGGCTACTTACCATATAAAATGGAAGTTATACATTTTAGAAATGGCAGTTTGTGATTAATCTGGCAAAAGTAAATAAATAAAACTTTTTAAGCTAAGAAATGAGATTTACTTGATGTATTAATAAGTAGCTCTTTTGGTCTTGCTATTGTAGCCCAGGCAGGCATTGAGCTCAAAATCCTGCCTCACTTGAGTGCTGGGATTACTGGTTTAATAAGTATCTCTTAATTATCTAAAGGTACTGGATAGCTGAAGTTTTACTATTTATTTCGCTCTAAATTTTTGGAGAGCTAGAAATTATTGTATGGAATATATAAAAGTTAAAGTTGACCAAATATTTAGTACTCTTGATGAATGAAATTTAGTTGTTTACTATTTTGTGAATCCTTTCAGCTCTAAATTTCAGCAGCTTTTATATTAAAGAGTATTAAAGGTGGGATGTTCTGAGAGCATTTTATTGGGCCACTTGAATTAGAATAGTATGTTTATCTGATAATTAAGAAAATTCCTACCTGTGAAAAACAGTTGAGTTGAGAATACTAGAACATGCCTCATTTCAGTTGTTAAATTTTTTGTGTTAATTTTAAATTAAAAGTGCTTTCACCATATAAGTGTTATTGTGGTTAAATAAAATTGAAACTAGTTTTATCTTGATACTTGATGAATAGACTAGACAGAATTTTTTATCTTTCAAACTTACCTTTATAAAAATAAACTTATTACTTTGCATCTCTACCGATGCAGACTTTGTTTAGGCTGAACAATTTCAGACTTGGTTCAGTTATTGATAGGAAATTTCTGTAATCATTGTTTTATAGTCAGTTTTGTCTTTCAAGCAGTGTTCTTAAGGGCAACTGTTGGTAATGTACTTTCAACTATAAATAAAGGAAGTACTTGGGACTTTTGGGCTAAAAGTAACGTGAAAATTATGTAAATAAGCATTGTATATTAGAAGTTACCTTATTAAATGAATGAGATGTGTATATAATGAGACAATACCTTAAAAATTTTCCACGGAATTGGCAATAAGTAAACATTTAAAATATACAACATTATGAATGTTTTGGTGTGTGTTCGTTTTATTATACAATACCAAAAGGGTTGTAAATGTTAACTTTTAAAAGGGAATTTTTATTTGAGGAAGTCCAAAACATAAAAACATATAAATTCCAGCTCTAGAATATATGTTTTAAGTTGAAAGCCTAGCTTGGAGTGAGACGCACAAATATGCCTAATGTAAGATGTCTTTTGCATTGAAAGTTAGCTTTGTTATTTGTAGTAAAATAGTAAGAGCAGTAACACCTCAGTTAATCAGGCCCTCGTTGAGGGTGAAGGAGATGAAAAACCTAATTCCAGGGACAGTAAATTGGCCTCTTGAAAATGGGCATTAGTGGTTACATCATGAAAGCCCCACAAAATACAGATGTTTTATATGAAAGAGTTGTTTTAATTCTTGGTGAAATGTTTCCCTTCATCCTTCCCCATGATGGCCCCCAGTTAAAAAGAAAAGCTCAAGAAAGTATGTTTCTATTCCCATTTAGCTCCCGCATAACAAATTCTGACAGTTTACCTTTTAAAGATTTCCAGTCCTGTCTTAAAGAGTAGGTTTAGATTGGCTGTGTGTGTGTACGCGCGTGCCTGTGCCTATGCAAAGCGAACAGATGTGAAAGGAATCACAGAGCTTTCAGATTTGGGCTTTTTGCTGTAATAATGTTAAGACTAAAAAGGAAGGAGTTTTTGTTTTTTCGTTGGTCTGGTTTTGGTGGTTTTTCACTTAGCACCTGCCATTTTTTTTTTTTTTTTTTTACTACTTTTAAAGACTTACATATTGCTGGTTAACTGAGGTTGTACTGTAATGAATCTAGTGAATTGTGCTTCAGTGGATACTTTTTTTCACTAAATCGTTTACATTATTACTTTTGTCCTTATTAGGGACTAGTAGCACATTCAGAAAGTTGGTTCACAGCTTCTGAAACTTAGACCTTTCCATTTTATGTCCTAAGAGCTTTGCTAATGGGAAAACATTTTAAAAAGTAGCAAAGGAGCTTTAGTTAAAATTTAAATACAGTACTGGTTGCTGTGATGAGTGGAGAATGATCCTAGCCTTTAGATAAGTTTGATGAAGGTTTGAAAGAAACTTTAGTTTAAGATTCTGTATTGTGAATAATACTTATGAGAAACACTGTAATAATTTTACTTGGGCTATACTTTTATCACTTTTTTTTTTTAGCAAGTTGACAGATGTAATTTGCTGCTTGCTTACTATTTTATAGTTGCCCAGCAGCAGCAGAAAACATGAAAAATTTTCTGGTATGTGATAGGAAAAATGACACTTTAGTAACACTGCCCAGTAAATTAGTGCAGTTTAGAAAAAGTGTTTTTACTGGTATAGATAATACAGTATTTTAAGGCAAAGCTTAATTTTTCTTTTTAGCATTTTAATACTGCTTTTTGTCTTTACAGGAAAATGTTTATAGGAGGCCTTAGCTGGGACACTACAAAGAAAGATCTGAAGGACTACTTTTCCAAATTTGGTGAAGTTGTAGACTGCACTCTGAAGTTAGATCCTATCACAGGGCGATCAAGGGGTTTTGGCTTTGTGCTATTTAAAGAGTCGGAGAGTGTAGATAAGGTAGTGTGTTACATATTCTGATCAGTCAATTTGCAAAACATTGTTGTAATGAATTTGCCCATTTGTGGTTTTCTCCACAAGTTTAAGGAGGAAAAGTAGAGCTTGTCAGAAGTTACTGAGGAGAGGGGCAGATTCAAGAATTATTTAAACTACATACTTTTCTGTATGTCAGGTATTACTAGATTAAAATTGAGTTCAATGTCTAGTCCTTCCCTGTCCCCCAACCCCCTCCCAAAAAAAAGAAAAAGGAGCATGACTCGCTTAGGTAGCTCTTTCCTATCATGGATGAGGCCTGTGTTCCATTCCCTGTGAGACATACACACATTAGAAAATGCTTTTAAGTGCCTAATTAAAAGGACATTCTTTGAACAGTTCACAGAAGGGTGTATTTTGAAAGTTTTTTGTTACGTAGCTTTTGATCAAATCATTGTTTTGGTCCTACACTAAAGGGAAGTAGCAAACATTTATGTTGCTTGGCACTTAAATCAAGTTGATGGTACCTAAGTTATTGGTTAAATTTGTGTAGTATCCATCTCCCAGTTCTTACTGACCTTGAGATTTAAACACTAGTATGTATTAACTGATGTCTTATGACCATGACTTGACAGTTTAATCTTGAACTAGTCAATACATGTCTGACATGAGCTATGTATTACTATAGTTATATAAGTTGATAGTTTCTGAATTTCAGTTAAGTCACAAATATTTAAAATGGAAAACTTAATTTCCTTAGGTCATGGATCAGAAAGAACATAAATTGAATGGAAAGGTGATTGATCCTAAAAGGGCCAAAGCCATGAAAACAAAAGAGCCTGTTAAAAAAATTTTTGTTGGTGGCCTTTCTCCAGATACACCTGAAGAAAAAATAAGGGAGTACTTTGGTGGTTTTGGTGAGGTATGTTTTAAATGTTTCAACCAAGTTTATGTCAAAATTAGTGTGAACCCATATTAAGTAGACTCCAATTAACTGGAGTTTTCAAAGCTGTTTAAGATTAGGGCAGATTATGTGATTTATTTTGGAATAAGAATGTTGAAAACATTTTATGAACAGATCTCTGGAGGTTACTTGATAAAATTTTTCTCAATTATTGAACATCTGCATATGTAAAATAGTGTGCTGTGCACATTGCACACAGAGATGAGGTGGATGTGGTTTTTTTATGTTAAGAGACAGAATTTTTGCTTTCTACTCAGGCCTGGCTTCCTGGTTTAGGTGATCTGCCTGCCTCTGCCTCTGAAGTAGCTGGGACTGCAGGCAAGTCCCAGACTGCTTCTAGCTTGGGACAAACATTGTCAGGAAATTTACCGGATTAGTAAAAGATAATAAAAGTATAGATGATGAAAAGAATTACAGTCCTGATTGGGTTACCTAATGCATAGAAGGAAACTCTAGTTAGAGAACACAAAAAGAATGAATGAAGAATAGGATACAATT